CATCTCCCAGGGAGCCACTCTCACAATCCCTGGCATATGGGCTGCAGCAGCATATAGGGCTGCAGAGGTTCTGGTCCATAGGCAGACAGGGACAGGCTGTTGTAACTGGCTTTAGGGCTATCTGCGTTATGCTGGGGCCACCAACCATCCCAGAACTGGGAGGATGCAAAGTTGACTTTATACTGGACTAATGATATAAAGGGTCTGTGTGTTGCAGAGAGGCAGGCCACGTTTTTGGATGAAACATCAACCTGAGCTCCTGACCACATCTAATCAGTAACATGATGTGCTAATCCTTTGGCCCTGGCCAAACCCAACCTGGGTATTTCCCTCTACAGTTTCAACTAGAGACAGTAATCTTTTTCACTTCCTATCCCAAATGATTGTGTAGTGATTCTGTATAGTGTTAAATAAATGCTGCATGTGGATTTACTATGCCTAACATTGGGGGAAATTATAGTTGTTTATAAGTTTATATACAGCTGTAGTCTGTATACAAGTTTAAGTTTGTACAGCAGTTTAAAATCCTTTGTGATGAAAAGCTTTGTGTGAATGTACCTTACTGATACTATTAAAATGGATGGAGAGTCTATCAGAGATAAAAGGGGAAGCCTTTATATTATCTGGTTTGCATTTTACCCAACTCACGGACAACCAATAGAAAACGTACAGGTATGAAACTGCCAATCCTACCCATAAATAAATGGATATTCTATGTTCGGGAGGTGCCAAGGACCTACTGGTCACAAACATTGTTTTCCAAACTGCATGATTAGGCATTGCATGCCGTGTGCATGTACATATGAAACTTTGATTCAATAACACCAGAGTCTGTGTTCTTACACTTCAGAGATAAAATCTGTTCTTACACTTTATACCTGATCTGTGAAGGGTCAAGACAAAGGAGTTGCACTTTTCACAAGACATGTATTTACATACTAATTAAATCGTTGCTCAGAAAAATTCCCTCAAACTTTTTTTCATTTATTCTAATAGCCATGTGGTGTCCCATTTCCTCATTGTCACTAACCAGATGAACATCTATGTTCTTATGTTATGTTGTCAATAAGAAACAATGAACAATAAATGATAAGAACACTGTGATTTCACTTGACCAGACTGCATATGCCAAATAAATAACCAAATGGAGGGTACAATCTGTCCCTCTCTTTTACCCACCTCCTTCAGTGAGACTGTACTGGTGCAAGCCAGGCCATCCCAATCAATATGCAAAATACGCACCAAATTACCACAAATTTCATGATGCCTTAGGCAGCTGTCTGATGTGTATGGAGTATTTTTGGCTCTGGTAGCCAGCCCCATCACCCTCCAGCTGCACCACTGCCTTGCCTCTTCTACACCCCTTCGACCAAGTCCTGCCCCTGCTCCGCCTCCTCCCCACCCTAATTGCATCCCTGCCCCATTCCCCCAAGCCCTCACCCCTCCTTCACCCTGCCCCACCTCTTCTTCCCACCCCTGTTCTTCCCCTTTCCCCCAAGCCTTTTTCCCCAGTCTTTCCCCCCAAACCTCCCTCCCCCAC